GAGAGAGAGAGAGAGAGAGAGAGAGAGAGAGAGAGAGAGAGAGAGAGAGAGAGAGAGAGAGAGAGAGAGAGAAAGAGAGAGAGAGAGAGAACAGAAAGAAAAGACACAGAATTACAAATAAAGAGTGAACACAAAAGAGAAAAAGATAAACAAAAAGACAAGAAGAGAGAAATAAATGCACATTCTTTTTTTTTCCTCTTTGTTTTTGCTTTTTTTAGAAAAAAGGCCACATCCTAATGCCGGCAGGCGAAATGAGGAGGTGCTGTGCTATCCCAACAAGAGAGTGCAATACAAAAAAAAAARAAAAAGAAAAAAAAAAAAACTGTTGAGGAAAAAGTAGTTACTGAACAATGTGTATTTTAGGGCATCAGGCCCCGTGCACGGCCTCGAACCGGCACCCTCAGCCTCATGAACGGAGTCTCGAAACCACTACAACCCTTGGAGGTGTTATAAAAACTGGATCCATACCGGTCGTGATATCCAGCCCACCTCCAGGGCTGTAGCGTCCTTGACTCACACCACACACACACAACACCACACCACGGACACGGCAATCAACACACTCCGCTCGGACGCTCGGACGCTTGGACAACACGCAGCCCCACCACCACTACTTAACCTGGTCACTCCAAGGCGGGCCAACTGACCGCGGGTTGGTCAAAAACCATTTCAAACTGGAGGAGAAGAGTAAGAAGACTAATGCGAAAACAAAAATTGCGCAGGTTTCTTTCTCCAAATTTAAAATTTTAAATCCTTTTCATATTGGGGGGGGGGGGGAATTGTATGCCAAAAAAAAAAAAAACGAAAAGAAATTGAAAACCGGGATAGGAATATTTTCATGCCCGGCCAGGCACAAGGGCGTGCAAAAAAAAAAGAAAAAGAAAGAAAAAAAAAAAAGCCTTTCTGCGCTCTTCCAGAGGACCCCAAATCCGGGCTCTTTCCATTTTTTGAGAGTTGGCTGTCAGGGGGGGGGAAGGGGGATATAAATAAATTGCTTTAAAGGGTCTAAGGGGGTTTTAAGGGGGGTGCCTTGGTGTGCTTTTGTTATTTTCTTTTTTATCTCCGGTTCGGTAAGGAATTCTGATGTGACCCTCAGCCAGAAGTAGTTTGTATTGCAATTCTGCACGACATATTTTTTCCCGGATTTTTTTCACTTTCGTTATTTTTTTTCTTTTTTTTTTTCTTTTTTTTTTTTTTGGGCTGAGGCTGCCCAGAACCCTGCCCGGGGGTCATGCCCGTCCGGGCACCCGGGCGTGTATCCGGGCACAAGTTGGGTGCCCGGGCGCCCGGAAAAACAACCTAGGAAAAAAGGAGACAAATGAAAGATGGAACGAGAAATAACAAAAACAAAAAACGAGTCGGGAAATCAAAATACGATGGCATCAGGTTAACCAAAAAAAAAGAAAAAAGAAAAAAGAAAAAGAAAACAAGAACACAAGAAAGAAAGAAATACCCCCCAGAAGCCGTCACATCCGAGAACCATAAACCGCTCTCTCTCTGTAATCTTGAACGCATGGACGTCCGGAGCTGCCGAGACTCCAACCTGCAGTGCCATACATGTCAGACGTCAGAAAACTCAAAGCTGGCACACAATACATGTCAGATGTCAGACAGTTGCAATTAGAATATGGACAAACGCGTCCGGGTACGGTCCGGGCCAAGGTCCCACTTGCGCTAATTAGGAGATTTCGGCCGTTGATCTTTGCTATCTACGGTCAGTATCTCTTCATTCGTGCAAGTGGGACCTTGCCCCCGGGTGCGGTTCGGGTGTGGTTCGGGTGTGGTTCGGGGGTATGGTCCAACTTACACAGGTCAGGAGACGTATTAGCTGTTCGTTATCTACACAGCCAGTATGTGTTAACCCATCTCAAAAAACACCACTCGAACGGGCCCTGCGTTGTTCTACGAGTACCGGGCCAAAATCTACAGTGCCCAGGCCAGGCCCGGTACCACAATTACTTTTCCTCAGGGCAGCACTGTAGATCTTAGGCTCGGGGAAATGCAACATCTGGGTTGTCGATATAGGTCCGGATGGAGTGGTAGTTCAACCCATCTCTTGACCCATATTTTAACCCATCTCTTAACCCATTTGTAACCCATCTCTGAACCCCATCTCTTGACCCATCTCTTAACCCATCTCTTGACCCATCTTTTAACCCATCTACCTCCATGCCTTAACCCATCTACCCCCCCCGGATTAACCCATCTGTTAACCCATCTCTTGACCCATCTCTTAACCCATCAAGAAACCAATCYCTTAACCCATCTTGTAACCCATCTCTTAACCCATCTCTTGACCCATCTTTTAACCCATCTACCTCCATGCCGTAACCCATCTACCCCCCCTGGATTAACCCATCTGTTAACCCACCTCTTGACCCATCTTTTAACCCATCTCTTGACCCATTTTTTAACCCATCTACACCAATAAATTAACCCATCCGTTAACCCATCTCTTGATCCATCGTTTACCGCATCTACCCCCATGCCTTAACCCATCTACCCCCCGGATTAACCCATCTGTTAACCTCTGCAAATGAGACCTCCAGGTCAGATGTCAGAATGTCTCAACACCTCAAATCTATGTGCAAGTTGTCACCATGCACAGATATGCCCTGACCACTGCTGGACCGCCGAAGCCACCTGTCGCTGTGTCACAAACTCAAGAGGGGCATCTGCCACAAACACTCCTGGGCTCGAATTTGCACCCACAACCTTTTTTTTTTTTTTTTCCCTTTTACACAGACGACTCAACGCCGGCATCCAATGGTTCACACGCTGCCACAGGTGGTGGTCCCAACCAATACAATGGATTCAATCAGTAAGGATTGAATCCAACTGATTAAAACCATGAGCACTTGAACGGTTAGCAAAACACCCCTGGCCGGCAGGTGGTGGTCCCCACCAATATAATGGAGTATCATTAACAAGGCCATGAATGCTGCAATCAAGAAGTTGCTCTTATGATCGTCACGATTGAAGGGTTGCACCAATGAAGTTTCTGAAAAAAAAAAAAAAAAAAAAAAAAAAACAGTAGAAAACAGTTCAAAGAATCAAAACACAATTCTTAACTACTGTTTCAAAATTTGAAGTCTTTTTCTCCGTCTTTCTGGAAACCAAAAAAAAAGGGGTACCATTTTTTTTCTTCCTTTTTTGGACTTAAGATTCTTGACATTGTGAACATTTTGCGATGGCTTAAAGAAATACGAGGCAAAATCAAATTTGAGAACTTAAAAGGTTAATAGGTTACACCTTTCTGGAGCCTTTTCGCTAAAAAAATAGTAAAAAATAGATGAAGTGTAGTAGCTGTTTTGCTCATCAGTTTAACAACTTTAACCTTAATATCTTATCCGTGCTCCATCCGACCGCACAAATAAAATAAAATAAAAAAATAAAAAGAAAAATAAATTCAATTAAATTAAATTCTAGGGATTTCTAGGCTACCAGAGTGACCCGGGTCCACTTGCCCGGCCGGACCAAAAAGAAATTAAAAAATAAAAAATATTTTTTTTATTAAAATTTTTATTTTAAATTTGGTAAAGAGTTTCGATGTGACCCTGAGGCAAACGTTGTTCAGTTGATTTTTCTGCATAACGTAGTTTGTTTTCGGATTTTTTTGAATTTCTTTTTTTTTTTTTTTTTTTTTAGCTGGGACCTTCCTTGTGCAAGGAAAATGAACAGAAGCGAGATGACAATATTCAGATTGCACAATCACATTGAAAGCCAAATCGTAACACAGTGTTCAGGAAGCAGCATTGCACCAATATTAGCAGGATTTTGCAGCAAATTTTATCTCTTTTTTGCTGCTGTAGGTTGCGGAGCTTAACGCCAATGGAGAACCGTAGCACTAAGAAGAACCGTAACACTAAGAATCAATGTCAATGAGAGCTTGCTCTCGCCACCACCAACATATGTATCTAGTCTCTGTCTCCCTAACCTGGCGCTCGGCGCCCAGCCCACTCCCTACACAGCTACTACTAGCCTACTAATTAACAATGCAACTGTTGTCGTCAGCATCACCCAAAGTACTTGAAGATGTCGCCCATGCAGAACCATCGCCAATACCAGGTATGTGCCCTCACATCATCATCATTATCATCCTTCTCTCTCCCCCTTGACTCTCTCCCATGTCTCACTGTGTTGTACACCCGAAGACCACCCCTGGGCCTCACTGTATGTCCAAGCCCACAGCCAGCTATGGAGGCTGGGCTATGGCGCTGCCCTCAGCAGCGCCCTGCTTCACCACACGACCGCACATGCGCAGCCTCTTGCTCCAATGCCAGCAGCCAGCACGCGAGCTATCGCTCCAGCAGCGCTGCCGCCAGCCAGCAAGTGCCCGAATCCCCTGGCCAGGCAGCGAGCTCTTTCCTATATGGAAAGAGCCTGCCTCGATCGGCAGCCTGGCTGGACTGGCCTGGGCCCAGAAGCTTCCAGTGGGCCCCAGGATGCTGCGCCTCTGGTGCAGCTACTGGGCCTCATTCGGTTGGGCCTCCCAAGCGAATCTGGCCCAGGGCCTGAGCTTTTGGAAAGGCCTAGAAGGCCTGGGAATTTTCCACGCTGCTCGGCCTGTGTTTCCCTTCAACCAACTGCCGCGACCAAACTGCCTGGACCCATCCAAATGCGAAATTGACAACCAAGGGCCTGTTGTGATTCGTTAGGCCCGCCTTCACTTAGGGCGGGCACATATGCTGCAAGGGGCCCCTTAGGCCTGCCGAGGACCCATATCCTCGCACTTGGTCCTTGCACGGCCGGGCCGCCCGGTCAAATAGGGTGACCCAGGCGGCCCGGCTGGTAGCCTTGATTAAATTAAAAAAAGGTAAAATGAAATAAAAATTATAAAATAAAATAGAGACGTTCATTAGACCGCCAGTTCAGCTGAAGCAGAAAAGCACTCATACCGGCATATACGGAGTAAGAGCTTTTCGATCAGGGCCAGGGCAGGCAGGCTACTATGAAAAGGCAGTGGCTCAGGCTCGCTACCGTCTTCCCCCGAACATAACGCAACCTAAAAATGAATGTATACGAGTTATATTTCCGGCCAGATACAGCCAAAATGAGGGTGCGTTGTGTTCGGGGGAAGACGGTAGCCTTGAAAGGTAGCTTCGACAACTTAGGGGGATTTTTGTTGGTTCTCTTCTTTTTGTTAGGGTTCGTTTTCGAGTAGCCAATGTCTAGCCTTTGGTTGGAATTTCCTGTTGTTTTGTCTTGGCGGTCTGGGCGTGGGCCCGGCCGGAGTTGCCGGGACCTCGCACTGTGACTGCTACTTTTGTAACGGACGCCGGGCCCGTTTCCCGGCTTTGTTTATTAAAAAAAAAAAAAAAAAAAAAAAAAAACCTTACGCTCGCGTAAACTGGTAGTCTAAAAGGAAAAACTGACACAAAGAAAAGAACAAGGACAAAATAAAAGGCTGGAATAGGTATAAATGGGGAGGATAAGGCTTAGGTAGAAGAAAGGGGACTAGGAGAAATTTGAGAAACCTTCTTAAACTGTCTATCACCAAATGCTCGAGACACTTCCAGTCTTCCTTGCAGACGTCCATTTGCTACGAAGCCTCCCGCCTGCCACACAACCAAAAAGGAAAAGTCGAGACCAGTCAAGTTAATGGGAAGAG